TGTACACCCTACCTAGACATGTCTTTTTCTAAACTATAGTGTGCATGTGCATGGTCACCATTACAAATGATAATTAAAATGATTAATTTTTAATACCCCGATCATCGTAGAAATTTCGAACCAAAAGAAATGCAGAATTATTTCACAATACACATTCTAGTGGCATACAGTTTTTCTATATAAATATAAGCTAGCTTAACCAAGGAAAGCGACTGCATAGTTGCCCCAATATCTCCCTGTCCCGCTCTTCTCTCAATTGCTAAGTATGGTATGTTTGAGCTCGGCTGGTATACACGAACAGCCTTGCCGTACTTGCCAATTAGAATAATTGCATTGGGTGTGTGATAAAACTAAGGCAGTGGGGCGTAACTTTACATCTCTTATAAAGTTGAAAAACGCTAATTGCCAGTGAATTAATTTTATAACATATTTAATTGCCTAGTCCAATTACTCTTAATTGGGTTAATTGTGCTTAACCTGACCTCAGCGGACTGGACTGTTTAACGTCAGACGCCCACATTGTTACCAAACTTGTAGTCGTTCTGTGTAAAATTTAACACACGACTACTTTCTACTGCGTGTATTTCTTGAACTCGCTAGTAGTGCATCGAATCGAAACAACGTCGTTGTCGTTGTTTGTTTTAATGAAACTATTATTGAGAACAGATCAAAAAATATGTGTTGCCTTAATCTATTTTAGTCAGTTGATTTACTCAGATCGCACGAACGTCGGTGTGCATCAGTTGGAATGTCACTGATCACACATTAAAATTATTAATTTCGTGAAATTACTACCAAAATTAATCTACTGCGCTTATGCGTTGATCGTTACTTAAGATCGCATCTGGCTCAAATTCATTTTGTTGTTCATCCATGAATGCCACGGTTCTTTTATATCACTCATTTTATATTTGCTCTAATATGTAATATAAATATTGCTAATGTGGTATGGACTGAGACATGGACGGGCAGAGTCAAGCTGTTACAAACGCATACACCGCCACAAATGTCATTACCCGGCATTATGTGAACCGTAATGGACAGTAATCATAATATTGAAAACAAAACAAAACAAACATTTCGACACGAATAAAGTAAATAAATTGATACCGTAAAATGGAGGGAAAATTAATACTTCGGCAATTCGAATTGGAATGAAATGGGAGGAACTTAATGTTAACAGTCTGTATGGCTAATACACTACCGACCCAATGATGGCACGTGCCAAAGACACGCGGCAATGTGTGGCCTAGCATCGCGTCAACGTACCACACTCACGAAAGGCTGCTCCGTCAAAGCTGCGCCCTTTTTAATTAGGCCGCCCTTTCAACTGCGCACCGTTTCGACAGCAAATACATTAAAAGAACGATCAAATATCAGAACAAAACGAAGGCACCGTTGCAAACACCAAGATTGTGACGACTTCCAATGACTGAAAAAAAAAGAAAAGTTTATCCACACCATCTTATTTAGTAAATATTATACTCGGTATGTGATCGTTAAGTACTCTAAGTTTATAATAATAATTGATACTGCTGTATTTATTTATGCTGTGAATATATATCGACGGATTTGGAAAGTGGCTCATACGTCGATAAAATTAATAAATTGCATCTTTATATTGTTGTGGACTAACTAATTTGAGGTTGGTAATGCATAATTTCTAAACAGTCCTTTTCAGCATACCGCCACCTGTTCTATATCCTTTGCCTGCGGGGTCAGGGGATTGAAATGTTGACTACCAAGTCCTCGTTATGCTGATAAAGTCAATATACTATTCAGTACCACGAATAAATAGTTATTTAATAATTGACTACACATATGTCTTCATTAATGTGGATATTAACATGAAAATGCTCTAGTCTAGGATGCACCTGGCCTATTCACCGTTATCTAGGTAACTTATTCGTAGGAACACCACCTCACAATAGAACGAAGATCACGTTCATAGAACTTTACGATTTCATATCAGATCTCATGTTTACGAGCTCTGCAGAGGATGTGCCGACAACTCTACGCACATCTAGGCACATTGAAATCATTT